TAGAAGCCAAGCCAGTTCCAGTTGACTGCTAGTTCCCTACTCAGTAAACTGAAAATTCAAGACATGAACCTTAAAATTCCCAAATACGGATAATTATCATTCCTATATGATTATTTCTTGTATCCGCATGCAATTATCTTTTATTGACCTTTTTTATTTATGCAATTATTTGTACTATTTCAGCAAGTTTATGGACAGTTGAGCCAGTTGGTTGCTTTCGAGACTCATACGTAGAACCCCGACCACTTCCCGAACTAATAGCCAACTTCCGAGACACTATCGATCGTAAGGATATAAACAAAACTGTCAGAGCATGCGCAGCGAAAGCCAGGGATAAAGGATACAAGTTCTTTGGCATCCAGTTTTATACTGAGTGTTGGAGTGGTACTGGGGCCGAGACAACCTACGCTAGGGACGGGATATCAGTAGACTGCGACAGCGGTGTCGGCAAATCAGGCGCAATTTTTGTATATAGATTTGGGGACTATAGTAAGTATCTTACGAGAGAGATGTAGCCATCAATAGAATGAAGACGATGTGAACTGCGGAAACAATTTTTGAAATGTTGAATGAAGATATGGTCGTTACAGTGGTAGTTGCAATTGAAGCAATTGGAAATTAACCCGAAAAAAAAGAATCTGGACTTCGAACCAATGGCCTCTGCGGTAGTGCTGCAGTGAGCTACGGAAGACCCATACATTGGAAGAAGGCCAATTTGCTGAGTTCATCTTAACCCCTTGAAAGGAATGAAACGTAGAATGAGAGTGATGTGAACTGCGGAAATACAAATTTAAATGAACACATTGTAATTCAGCAAATTGGCCTGCGCCCGATGTATGCGTCTTCATAACTCAGCGCTAACATAAGTTCGAATCCAGTTGAAGTTCTGAAATTTTTGTCGGCTTAATTTGCAATTGCTTAAACTGAAATAACCACTGCGAGGACCACATCTTCATTTAAATAGTAATCAATTTGAAAATCCCTCATATTGGTAAATGAGCGGATGAAAACTGTCTCAAACAAGTATGGCGCCCGTTCGGGGCACTTCCTTTTTTGGACTAAACGGGTGTGTGCCGCGCGCTGAACAGGGTATGGTTTTAATGGTCTTGAGTCTTAGATCATTGGTCAAGGGCTCCTGACAGGGTGAACAATTTGATTATTTCGCGTCTTGAACAGGTGTTTTTGAACTGGAAGTCTTGAAAAGAATGTGAAGGTTGGTAGTGAGTGGTCTAGAAACATCATACAAGGCTGAGTATGTTCTATACAAATTTCGATCTTACTTGCAACTATTTCAAAAACTCATTTATAATTCATAAAGAAAAAAAAAAACAAAAGAAATTAATGCTTAATGAGTGTCTTTATATCTGATAAAGACACGGCTAAACTTTACGTCCAATTTTTTAGACCAAAATAATCACAACTCTAAATATTAGTGCAAGAATGAGTTGATCAATATCAGAGATTTTAACGCCGTTCAAAAAAAGAGCAGAAGAGTAGTCTGCTTGAGTCTTTAACCCTTTAAACCCTAAGATCAAAATTTGAATTCTCATTTGTTGCTCCTATTCATTTCCTAATGAAGAAGTGGGGAGAAGTTGATAAAATATCAAGAAAATTCATCTTGTGTGATCATGTCTGTAATTCTCATAACCACTTTGTTCTACAAAGCATTGATATTACAAGGAGAAATTTAATGCTGGTCACTCTTAGGGATTAAAGGGTTAAACAGTACTTAATAAATTTCTATATCAAACAGCTAAGCTGTATTTCTTTTTTAGAGCCGCCATGTTCTTCTTGTAAACAGCCGCGACACCTGTGTTTTCCCGCCATTTCTCACGTGACCCTAGAGTCAGGTGCAAACATCAGTATGAGGCAGCTGGGGATTGGTGACAAAGTTCGGACACTGGGCATGAATGGAGAAACCATTTACACTGAAGTAATTGCTTTCCTACATAAGGAGACAAAAACTGACGCAGAATTTTACAAGTTTGAAATCAGCACAGGTAACGTTGTAATGTTATCTCCACAACATTTGATCTTTCGAAAAGAAAACTCGACGTCCCCTGCTGCTGCGGTCTTTGCCTCAGATATCAAGCTCGGAAACTTGCTTTATACATCGAACGAGAGAGTCGCTAGATATAAAGCAGTAACCCGGATCTCCATGGTAACAGAGACAGGCGTGTATGCCCCTTTAACCAAGGAAGGAACGCTATTAGTGAATGGTGTTCTCGTGTCGTGCTACGCCAGCTGGCCTTCCCATGAGGCAGCACATTTTGTAATGGCGCCGTTAAGAGGCTTGTACGCCATCACTGGAGCCTGTAAACGACTGGTCAGCTTCATAGATTGGACATTCTGGAATGATTTCCAACGGATGGATGGAATTTCATGGTACGCCTTAGGACTTGCCGCTTTAACGGACATTTTCCTTTAAGGGCAAGATCGAAACCGCCGCATTACGCTCTGCTTAAATCATATTTGAAACATCGCTTTAAAAAATAAAGCCACAATTTACAATAAAATAAACTAAAAAGCGGCCGAATTCATGGGAAGTTAACACCAAGGCCTAAATTTTAGCCAGACTTTCTGAATAAATACCTTATTAAATTTTGCGGATACCGCGTTTTCTCGACTAAACACCGGGCCCCGGGTTTCAAAGAGGAAGTTGTAAACAAAAAAATAAAATAAATAAAATAAAATAAAAAGTGAAAGATAAACGATTCTCCCGGATAAACTTTCCTTGTGTACGAACTGTGTCAAATGATATTTCGCATCCGCTTTCACAATTACTCATCCACGGACTTACTAACAAAACGATCTCCAGGTTATTCAAGTGGGTCCGAATAGAGCAACAGGCCATTTTCGCGATCCAAAAACTCTCCACTGTTCACGTGCTAAAAAGAACTTCAAATTTGGTCATTTCACGTCGTAGTTGTGCAGGGACGGCAAAGAAATTGACAGAGAAGCGTGATGCACATGCAAGGATTGAACCTGTTTTCCTTGCCGTCGCCGTCGCCGTCGAAGTTTCGCGAGGTCCCTAATAGAAGAACCTGAGGCGTCTATAAAACGGTCCGCGGTGCAATTCGACGTAGCACCGACCCAATCTTCCGCGCAACATAAAACGGCTTGGGTCCACCTTCACAGCGGTCAAACGAGTGAAATTTGCAAAAGTTAAGCGAAATACTTCAAAGTTAAGGTTGCTACTTTCACTATCGAAAGTTTAGGGCATTACCAACATCCTGTTAGTTTACTAAACTTTTTAAAAGTTTACTAAAAAAGTTCTAAGNTGAAAAAATTGTTGCGCTAGGAGGGGGGGCTCCAAAAATTTGTATACTTCAAAACCAACACATGACATCATCATACAGATCGGATGGTTTTCAACTCAACAATTTAATGACCTGTGCAACTCAGCTATATCACGTGGTTTACAGATATAACAAACGTAGTCTCAGTAATTATTACACTCTTGTTCATCCCAAAAATGCTTTAGAAAATTGTATCACAACTGTATCTCAAGTTTGTCATAGTATAAACCATTGAAGACAATAACGGTAAATATATTTAATACAGTCTAGCGATCTTTTTCAGGGGAGCAAAGGAATTGAAGGAGGAGTGGGGGGGGCTCTGAAATTTTTTCGACTACCAACGAGGGGGCTCCTAAAAAATTGAACCGCTAGCGAGGGGGGCTGCTAAAATTTCAAGCTTCGAGTTTCAATATCTTCATCCCCCCCCCTTGTCATATTAAATGAACTTTCCCTAAGTGATTGAAAACCGATGCTGACGTTATTATCGGCGCCATTTTCAAACATGATTCTCTTTTAGCGCGAAGCGTTTTCAGCGAAAAAAGCTCAAAATTTTGAGAAAAATGGAAAGATAGTTATGTTGATTAACTGATTTATACATCTTTGCCCATTTTTCTCTAACTGGTAAACGAAATCCCAGCAATAAAAAACAAAAATAACGATTTAGACGTTTGACCGCGGTGGTGGGTCCACCTAGTCTTCTATGCAGCCATTTTTTTTTTGTCTGGAGCGTTGAGTGACGACACAAAGAATGGCTGGGAAAAAGACAAAGCCCCCTCCAGACCAAGCTAAAAATACATACCGTGAACGTTTACTTGAGAAAATATGTAGCATGAGGAAAGCTAAGCATATACATACTCGGATCAATGTAGGTTTCAGGGAAACTGCCCACCTACCCCTCCCCTACGCCATCATTTTGCCCAAAGTGAGAAGTAGGTGCTAATTTAGCTTAGGGGAGGGGTAGGTGGGCAGTTTCCCAGAAACCTAAATTGACCCTCATACTCTTCCTAGAGACTGCGAGCAGTCTCACTTTTTCTTCAGATTTAGTGAGGGTAGTGCATGGGCGCGCTAGTGTTGAGCGGCGAAGCCGCGAAACGAGAGAAACGAGGACGGCGTGCCTCTACCATCTCGCACACTTTTCGCTTGACGAACCAAGAAAAAAGAAAGACTTCTCGTAGTCTACGCTATTTGCTGTCTTTTTTTAAGATATAACATGTCTTTGCATCAATTGAATTACCAATTAGTTTGGTTATTTTAGACTCGCCACATTTAAGCGACTGAAACTGTTTCCTGTTGTCTGTTACTACGGATGGCAAAGATGAACATGGATTAAATCTTGAAACATTTGGATCCACTTTTTCAAGAGTTGATGCTTTTCCTGCAAAAACCGGCTAAAAAATTCTTATAGGTCAGCACTCCATTTTGAGATTTGTTTGTTATCTTATTCACATCTTTATAGGAGCAATTGTGTGTTTTCACATGACGTCTGGGCGGCCATATTTGTGTCCCAAAACAAAGAAACGGCGGCCATGTTTGTGTCCCAAACCAGTCCTGTGGGAGTTGAACTCTTTTCTTATGTAAAAGTGTTCTTTTGTTCCAGTAAATTTGCATAGATGCTGGCCACTTGAGTGAAAACACAGAGTATCCTCATGACACTGCCCCCTTAAACACAAGTCCCTCATTCACACATTTAAAACTTTACTTTAAAAAATGAATGAAGTGTCAACAGCTACAAGGCTGATAAATTTATTTTTAATTCACTCGCTGCTCAAAAATTGTCTAACTAGTGTATTCGAAACAGTTAGAGGCATTGGCATCTTACACAATAATAGTATTAAAAAAAACAAGCTTGTGGACTCTAGGAGCCTCTGTTTTCCAGATCCTTTACTTTGTAGATTCTAACAAGCCAGTGCTCGGTGGTGTATGCTTCCTCTAATACGTCCAGCTCGAATTCCTACGAGGGAAACATCACAAATTGCCGGTCAATGAAAAAAAAAAAAGACTTATTAGACTATGTGACTGCAATAAAAAAAATTAAAATAAAAAAATTGCCCGATTCCATTTTGTTAACCCTTTAATCCCTTAGAGTGATCAGCATCAAATTTCTCCTTGTCATATCAATACTTTGTAAAACAGAGTGGTCATGAGAATTACAGACATGATCACACAAGATGTATTTGCTTGATATTTTATCAACTTCTCCCCACTACTTCTGTAGGAAATGAATAGGGGCAACAAATGAGAATTCATATTTTGATCTTAGGGTTTAAAGGGTTAATGCTAAAGAACAAATAGCACACAGTGAAAATAATGGTAACGTCACAGAATTTCATCCACAGACTCAGACGTTGAAGTACCAACTTAATATATAGTTCCATGGGAAAGAACTGCTGAAGACAATTCGGTCCTCTAAATGGTAACAACATAGGATTTCGAAGTCTTTCCTTCGCGTGTCACCTTCCTCGCGTGTGGCGACACCACTACTGGTTTCCCGGTGAAATGACGTCCGAGCAACGACTGAAGAAATTCCATACTGATGACGTGTCACTACACACTTCTGGGTAGTGCTTCCTATTGGTTAAAGTAAAGTTCTCTCGCAGCACAAGCAGCCAATCAGTATGGAATTTCTACAGTCGTTTCTCAGGGACGTCATTTCGCCGGTGGTGGCGTCGCGAAATGTCGGCGGTTGTAGTTTTCCGCGCCCAACAGAAACAAATGTTTATTTGCTACTTTAGTTAGGCCTAACACATTGAAAACTATTCTCGTTACGTCATCTCAGAAATGTTCAGAATTGACGAAGTAAATAAAGCTGCTATACCTTATTTCCGATTTCAGCATTGCGCACACGGTCATAACCAGTTGGTTTTCCTACAAATAAATCAAACCAAAAAATTAAAATATAAACTAACGTTGGAATGATAAAGGAAACAAATAACAGCACCGTAGAGTTTATTTAATTCTAACGATGATTCACAGAGTCTGTTTATTTAACGCTGATGCTGGTTCTTACTTTCGCTACAAGCAAAAGGGTATTCGTAAAGTACAAAACAGAGTCAGCTAAAAACTACCTGACGAGCGGAGGGTTCTTTTCGCTCGCCACAGCAGAGAGACGAGTCTGGGAACGAGCTTGAGTGCATACAGGAAATATTTAACGACGACCTTGCGGAGATTGCGACTTGGCGCCAAAATGACCTATTAGCCATACAAAACGGTGACAGACTATTTGGCGCGAAAATAGACCTAGAAACGTACAACGCTGCAAATATTATAGAAGGACTATCTATACAGGGGGAGGATACGGGAATAAAAGGCAATGATTATTTGGGCTCACCTTGCTCGGTATACACAGAGCCAAATCGGTAGTAGCACATTTTATACATGAGGCAGTTGAGCAGGATCTGGGAACCACCTTTGTCGATACGAAATTCACCAGTGGAGGTGTAGTAATCGTGTTCCTTGATGTGCTGGCCCTTCTCTGTGCTACCGCCAATACGCACCATCCACAGGAACTTGTTAATGTCTGCAGTGAGAAAACAGTGAGTTAGATGAGAATGAGGCTACTTTGCAGGCGTTTTCTGCGGGTAAGTGAATGTTTCTGCTCTACCTGCCATACCGTAAACTGCCGGCGCGCTTATCCGTCTTCGTAAGGCGTTTTAGGAGGGTTTATAAACGGAGGGGCTTATATCCGAGGAGGCTTACAATAGGAATAGAAAAGGACTTCAAAACAAGCTACGGCAGTGCTGATCAAAATACGTTTTGTAGTTACTGGTTTTTAATTAAGCTTCAAAACGTCACAATAGATCGAGTTCATTTCACTATAGCTTCTTAACCTGTGTACAGACCCCACCCATCCTTCTCGAATTTTTCCTGAGGGGAGGGGGGATCTGTACACAGGCTATCGTTACTTTTCACGCAACTATCAGCTGCTTGGCGTCCCGTAAAAAGTACTCACCATCTGAGGCGTATCCAGTCAACCCGCCAAAAATAACCAACACATAATTCACGTCAAGTTCTCGCATGATTTCATACGCTCTGTCTTCACTCGAGGCCATAGCCTGAAATGGTAATGAGGTCCATCAAGATTAAATCCAAACGGAAGAGTTACCCCTAGCCTCTGTTTTAAAACGAGGGCAAATGTAACCTGCGATCAGGCGTTCTTTTTTTTCAGGGAAGCGACTCTTCCACATTTCCTATAACGCACCTTATTTGCCCCCCAAAGTTTTGCATAAGCACTGGTTTAAATGTCTCTTGGGACGGCTGAAATACTCAGGAGAAATGAAAAACAAAGGTTATGCAACAATTTTTTTTTTGGGGGGGGGGGGGGGGGGGGGGGGGAGGGAAAAAAGGGGGATTTGGGGAAAGGGGGAGGGGGGAATAGGGGGGAAGGCGGGGGAAGGGGGGGGGGGGGGGATTGAATGGGATTTTTTTTTTGTCCGCAAAAGGGGGCGCCCTTTGCCCCCTCTTTCTTAATTTGCCCCCCACGTTTTGGCTTAGTCCTTGTTTTAATGTTCTTTGGGAGCGGTGAAATACTCCAGGGGAAGTGAAAAAAAAGGGTATGGGAGCATTTTTTTTTTGGGGGGGGGGGGGAGGAGGCGAGGGAAGGCAAATAAGGTGCATTGTGGAAATGTGGAAGTGGCGAATAGGGCGAAAGTCGGCGTAAGTGGGAGGGGTTGGATATGAATGCGATTTTTTATTGTCACGCAAAAGGTGTCGCACTTGGCCTCATCTTGAAAGTGAGCTGGAGTTTTGGAACTTGGAAATGGCGTACAAATGCGGCAGGATTGCCTCAAGTCATGACATCAGGAGCTAAACTATTAGTTCGAGTCACCAAAGTTCGCCCCTCAAGTGGAGAAGATAGTGGGACTACCTTCGGACAATCTTTGAAAATCGTCCAAACGTTTGTCTACGAAAACAATGATGTGTGTTGCCTTCAACCAAGAGACCCAATGGAAAAGTCACAAGGGACTTGACATGTTTGGAAGTAAGGCTCTTATTGTCGTCCACAAGCGAGGCCTACAAACCATGCAGTAAAGTAGGAGTGTAGGTACTAGATATGGACTTGCAATTATTAATTTAACATTTGAGCGTAGAAAAAAAATAAAGCGACCAAACAATTTCGTTTAAGGCCGGCTTCCCGGGGCAACGGAGAGACGAAGTCGCAATAAGGAGCGTGGAGCGTTATGATCAAACGAAAACAGCCTTCCGATTTCGCTTATTACTCCGTGGTTAACGATCTAGTGAAAACTACGTTCTCTAAATCGCATACAGAAGCGGGATAACTAAACCACGCACAAAACGTGGGAATGAGCATTGTGATTGGTCTATCCTTCCGCGTCTGCTTTTGACTCCGACTTGGATTTCACTAGATCGTAAGCGACAGAGTCATAATTGGAGTCGGAAGAACAAGGAAACGTTCTGATTTTTCCGACTCCGTCGTCTCCAATTACGACTCACATTTTTGTTTTTCGCTAGGTCACGGGCGCTCTTACAAGTCCGCTTACGACTCCGACTCCAACTGCGTCGCTTACGAAAACCAGCCGTAACATACATAACATGAAATACGCTTCACCAGACAATATAAAAAGGGGGCTAAATAAAGCTGTGTATTTGTTTTCTCGCTGAAAAACCTTTTTCTTTTATATAAACAGCTTCGTTGGACTGACCTATCAGAAAGCTTAAAACAAAAACAGCAACATTTTCCCGCCAAATCCATTCGTTTTCGGCTTTGCGCGTTCACTATAGTAACCAAGAGGGGCGCGAGTTTGTCACCAGTCGCTAAACCAATCATATTTCTTCCGTCCAGTTCCTTGCTTCCATCCAGGGAGCCGTTGCTTAGTGGTATCTACGCACGTGACCAAGCGCTGCAAAGGCTAATTGTGTGTTGTTCCTCGAGTAATTACCTCGCAAGGAGAAACACGTGTTTATCACATGCTGTCTTACCTGACCAACTCTGGAGATGTGCGTGTTGTTCCACGTGTTATTATCCACTAATATCGTCCTGTTCGCCATGGCTGTTATCTGATAACCGTAATCCCACCATGACATTACTTTCGATTCCTGAAGTAATCAAATAAAAGTAAATAAATGAATAAATAAATAAAAATTTGGGAGGCCATGCTCTTCTGTTGAGTATGAATAAATAGGTAGATTTATCAAAGAGAACGTGACAACAGTGACGAAGGCGAGCACATGTGTTAAAACCGATTTGACCAATGACAGAGCTGCAAATTGAGTGCAGGAAGTCAGGTTCAGTCCCATCCGCTGGCTTTCGCTTTCGTTTTTGACGTTGCAATGTATAGACGCAGTTGCATTATTTTATTCCCCCTCCAAAAAAACAACGACGACAAAAATCATTCACAAAACAAGCAGACACCTCGACAACAGCTTTTCAGCTCGGTATTAAAAACTATACGGTGAAGTTTACAAAAGCGTAAAAGCATGCGAGTAGCAAAATAGCACGATCAAGTTACCTCGGGAGTGTTTTGTCGGAGCCAGTAGTAAGCTTCACGGAAATCGTCGAAGATGACTCGGGAACCGTCGTGTTGTTTAGCCGATAGCACGATGGATGGCGAAGAATACGCTTCAGAGGTAACCCAGGTACAGTGGAATGTGTAAGTGACAAGCAATAATGCCATCAGGCCAACCATGGCAGTAGCAACCTCGTTTTTGATCGGGTAGGTTGGATCTGGTTTTTTCGCAGTTTTTCGGTCGCGACGAGAAATGTCCAGATTCTACAGAAAAGAAACACATGCACCACTGTTTTCGATTAAACATTACCGGCTAATCATCCGATACAGCGCGTCTGATAAGTTAGGTCAGGTGGAAAGGTGGAACTTCCTTTTGCTGCATGCGGAATGTCTTTGCAATTTACACGAACAACCAACCTCAGTGGTAACAACATTTATAAATAAGCAACGAACAGCCGCTGACCATAAAGCCAGAATGCCCGGATCATTATCCGTTTCTGGGAAAGTAATTTTTTTGCACAGGAAATCCACAAGGAACTCAATAAGAGGGATAGAATGAACACCGTACCTTCATGTAGGTTGTAAGGACAGTAGATACACTTATTCCTGATAAGATACAAGCCACAGGAGCCAACACTAACATCAGACGAACCATCACACCCTGAAATACAGCAACAACAAAGAAAGTAATCAGTATCCAAAACCCGAAAAAAAAAAGTTGTGTTAAAACTTATCGGTCCGAAGTCACGGAAGGAAGTACATTTATCGTACAGTCTCTCTTTAGTTCGTTTGACAGAGCGCCTGAACAGTGTTCTGTGCCCGGCCGTTCGATTGTTAAGAGACAAAAAGCGTTCTTGGTTCATTTCACGTGACATGACGAAACAATATAAGACATTTCCCTAGACAAATTCGCGCTATGCGAGGGGGCGCAGGATGTTTGGAACCGTGCATTCGATGATGGGTGACGTTACATCCTAACTCGCCAACGCTAATAGGGAACAAGGCTGTACGAACATATTTTTCAACGAGTTCGACTTTCCTAGCAGTTTGCTGCAAGCATGTCACATATAAACCTTTAAAATCCCATGATGGCATTGTTCAACATGTACTTCGACGTAGAAAATGCCTAAATTCACGTTTTATGGAGGCTGTAAACAAGCCACGATGAAATTTTCTTTCTCTCTCTGGACTTGGATAGGGTTCTCAGGAATTCAGCTTCTGAAGGATTCGCCTACATTTGACAAATTAGGTGAAAAAGAATAATCGCGATGAAGATTGAAAAAACGCGAATTCAGTTTTTAAGCGACGTTTTTGTTGTCGTCACCGTCTTCGCATCTTAACGCCCCTAGGGAGCTTAAGCAAAAACGACGGCGACGGCTACGGAAACGTCAGTTTACAAGTGTGTTCGCGTTGTCTCAAAGTTAATCGCGCTTATTCCATCTCGTTCAATTCGTCAAATGTTGGCAAATTTTTCTGGACTGGAATTCTTTAAGACTGTATCGAAGTTCAGGAAAAGAATAAAAAATTGCTGTCGTGTGTTCGTCTTCCCCAAAACCTAAAACAAGGCACTTTCACGTCGTAGTCGTGCAGTGACGGCAAAGAAGTGTACAAAAATGTTTGACGCACGCCCAGAGTTGTTCTTTTGCTAATCTAAACTTATTGCTTTTTGCTGTTCTCGTTGCCGTCCCAGTTGTCGTTGCTTAACTCCCTAGTAGAACGGAGTCCTCAAAATAGTCTTATGGTGCAATTCGTCCCAACCCTGACACAGTCTCGCGCGTTATTTCAAAACAGCTTAAAGTATAATCTGTGATTAAACCATCGTATTTTCAATAACCAATCTCTACTTACGGCGAAATAGATGCTAGTAACGCCATACATGATGATAAAAATATTGGCGTCGGTGAGCTTGTAAAAGCAGTAGTATAAGCCAACAGGGAACATGAACACCATGAGCTGAAGATCAAAGTAGAACGAAGACCACGTCGTGGGCTGATGTTCAGAAACGGAAGCGATGATAGGGATGTTGTTCTTAGCGTAAGATGGATCCAACAGTGAGTAGAAACGCCCAGTCCAGGGTGAGATTTTGCCAGTGAAGGTTAGGATGCCACCAACAGTCGAGACACCAACGGCTGCTACCGCTACCACTGTTTTGAATAGGAGTTGGAAGTGTTCTCTGGGCATGCGCGCACGGACGTAATCCACAAAAGCATGGATCTGGCAGAGGCCAAACACGCCAAAGGCCTGCAGAGAACGAAGGTTTGAAAATTCAGGCATACAAAACTTATCACTTTATTTACATCACAGGCGCTTTCCTGCTTGCAGAGTCCGTTTATTATTGGTGAGAGAAAGTAGGCTGCTTCCTCTCGCCAATACGAAACGGAAAGTAGACTCCGCTAGCAGGAAACGCAAGTGCGCGTTTGTATCTAGTAAAACCGGAAACTTAGCCCGCGTAGCCGGCGTTCGAAGGGAAAGGAAAAGGGGATTTGGGGCGTGAGAGAAATGCAAGGGACGCGCGAGGAAGGGAGGGGGGAGGAAGGGGAGGGGAAGGGGGGAAGGGGGGAGGGGGGAGGGGGGAGGGAGGGAGGGAAACGCCTGCAAGGAGGCCATTATGAGTTTCTGGCAAAACTGAAAAGTCAGTCAGCATTGTTTTACATGCAGAACAAAACTTACAGCCATGTGTTCACTGGATTGTACCGGCTGAAATCCAACAAAGGAGATCTGCATTGACAGAATGGTCCCCAAGCAATAAACCTGGAAATAACAATTATTTGCTATTCTTAACAACAAAATATCTGACAGCTGGATATTGGATACAGTGTAACAAGGACCACAGAGATCACAATCAACAGGAGCAGGGATTGCACGGTGGCGAGAACTCTTATCTCCAGAAATTATACACACAATGGTGCAGAGCCTTCGATAAGGGCTGTAACCTGTAACACCTGTTATGGCTGAGCTTGCTTGATGTTACGGGTGATCAAAGTGCATGGAAAGCCAAATGTGGCACTATAAATTTTTGTGAGATGTTACGAGTGAATCCTTAACTGCTACAGCTGCCTAGAAAGCTAATGACAGCCCTGTGGTGAAAATGGCAAATCTGGCAAAAAATTGCCAGAGGCTTGGCAAAAATTTAAATGAGATTACAAGAGGTGCTCCTTGTAAAGTGGTGAAGTCAATGAAAATGGCCAATCTGACAAGTGGAACATCCCCTTGGAAGGAAATTGACAACTCAATGACAACACCAATGTTTTTTTTTTTCATTTCACTCCCTTGCCATTGCAGCTCACCACAGTTTCTTTAAAAACGAACCACTTAACTGCTTACATAAATCATGTACTTACAGAGCAGTAAGCAACATAGATTCTGTGCGAGAACCTGCCAGTCGCCATCAGAGCCAAAACATGAAGAGGAATCAAGTTGATCAGGAAAACATATCCGCCCCAGGAGGAAACCTGATAAAGGGAAAAGTTACCAAATTATGCATGCATTACTACTTTGCCTCCTTCAAAGCTGAACGTTACTGAGTTTCATGATGTTTCTTTCAAGTTGTGTGATCAAATAAAGTCAGCAATTAAGTGGATGTCCATAACAACAAACATTTTAGTTGTTAACTGTTTTGAGGTTTATGTAATAATACAACTAGTAATAGGTAGTTAAATTCTTTTAATTAGACTGTATTTCCTCTTATTTTTTGTTTTCTACTACTTTCTATTTCTTTTCTTTTAGGATTATTATTACTATATTTTTTTTCCTTTTCTCCTATCTCAGAGATATTAGCTTCAAGAGCTACACTGTAAATCTGAGGTTAAATAAAGGTGATGGTGATGACGATACTGAGACGATTTTGAAGCAAATCATCATTTTTGGGGGCTTTTTGTTGCCTTAATGTGATTCAACGTAGTCTGCTTATTACAGTGTAACAAGCAGCTTTACTTCCTATAATACTGATCATGTTTAACTTAAGGATATTCATTCATTGAAAAAGGTGAAAAAGGTGATTATCACTAACCATGTAAAAATAGGCCAGAGCACACATGGTCGACCAGAACAGTGAGCCAGTCTTGACAGATTTGATCCAGAGTGCATATGTCAGCAACATGCAGAAGATGGCAATGCCTTCATTGTCATATGATCCAGCAACAGAACGAGAGATGTAACCTAAAAAGAAGACCACGAGTCTCATTAAAACAAAGCAAAGGATTGTTATTGCTTGAGGTCAGCTTGATTGGATAAGTGCCGGTGTGCCAAGCAGTAGGCTGTTGGTTCAAACCTAAGCTGGACCAACACTCACTGCCTTTGTAATGACATCTGCAGTTGGCTAGACTTTCTAGTGGATGATAAGATACAGCGTCTTATACAAACAATTTACCTAGGTACTTTTAGATTAATGCTGATGTATTAGAAAAGTGAAGCCAGAGAATGAATAATTTTGTTTTATTACCAGGAACAATGGAGATCATTGCAGCTGCAACTAATCCAGCACTGGCATCCTGTAGGAAAAAAATACAGTATAAACATAAATGTAAACAAAATGACTGCAGAATGGACCTGCATTACTAAACTTTTCTTAAGGAGTCTGTTGATAGACAGAGACTAGTTGTAATTCACCTTAGACTGGGCATCCAAGCATCAATCAATTAATCAATCAGTCAATCATCAACTTTATTAGCATGTCAATCTTCTGGCAGAATCACAAGTGGTGCACCAATAGGGACACTTACATTCTGAGGAAATTTTCTATCACACTTATTTTTATCACAAAAGAACTCTGTCTCAATAGTTTGAGTTAGTGATTATCAGGTAATTGTAAAATCTCGGACAGCCTACCTTAAGTTCTTTGGTGAGGTGATATGTTACGAGTGTTGTGAATGATGAAAACAGAGGGGCAAGAAATACGCAGACATTCCTGATATCGATGGTGATGTGGAAGAAATTCATCACATGATACAATACAGCTGATGTAACCATCAGACCTATAAAAACATTAAAAATATTGATTAAAAAACACTGCTGATATGCACAGGTCTATATGTACAATACATCTACAATATCATTTTATAAACTAAGGACAATCTTTGCCCAGTGGCTTTTTATGCTGTCATATTTCTAGGAGATTCAGGCAAATTTTTGCAAAGTCTTGCTGGCTTACTGAAATCAATCTGGTGAAGATGTATTTTCGCATCAGTAAATGAACAAGAGGAGCCTGCAATTCTAATCTCCAGGGCCCAGTTGTTCGAAGGCCGATTAGCGCTTAACCTGGGGTTAAAATTAACGCTGGTTCCTTTTTCTTGCTTTCAAAAGCATTTTCTCAGACAATTTTCTCTATTATTTTTAGAGCTTCCAATCATCAACTTGTAGACAAAAAGAAGATAAACTGAAATGCTTTTTAAGCTTTCAAATCTGAATTCAAATCTCGCACTAACCCTGGATTATCTTAACCCAGCTTCAAACAACTCGGCCCGGGTGGCTAATTGCACATGCACGGCACCAAAATAGCCAGCTTCTAGTTGACTCCCACTAACAATGAATGAAATGCCCAGAAGGCAATCTGATCACGTAATCTGATCATGCGTGTTTTGACCTTTGGTCGGTGTCGACCACTGCTCACTTGTTAACCTTTGGTTATTACTAGTTTAAACAGTAATGCTTCTTCTATTTTTACCTGGATAAATTGTGCCACCAATAATTCTTCCCAGAGGATACCATGCTCGATCATCAAACCAGTTATGGAATTTGTAAAATCCTTCTTCAGCTAAAAACTTTGTAGTTCTATAATTGAAGTACCTGAAAAACACACCATGATTACAATCTTTAAAAAACTAAAGAGTTGCACTTATTGTAAACGTTGTTTTGGTTTATATCTTCCTTTGTTTCAAATTCATTTAATTAACAATTATTCGCCGAAGGCGAAGTTAATATTGTTGAATAATCCCCGAGACGAAGTCGAGGGGATTATTCAACAATATTAACTGAGCCTGAGGTGAATAATTGTTTTAGTATATTCACACGAAGTGATCTCAACAGAATCAGAAAGGAAACCATTAAAAAACGATTAGTTTGATTGACGGGTGAAAATTCATGCGTGAACACGAAGCCGTAAACAGTGGATGCGCAAAAGTTAGATCTTTACAGTATCTTCAAACATGGCAAATGATAGTTTTAATCCTTTTGTATCGAGTTTTGTAAGCTTTAGCATCAACGGTTTAAAAGAAAACGCCGAAAATTTAAATTACTACCCAATTCTGAGAAGAAAAGTATCTAGAGCTTTATTTGTTTCTGTCAACTCACCGTGAATGAGAAAGTTTTCTTCGTCGCTTCTTGCAAATGCTGTCAACAGCGGCTGCGATCAAGGTGAGCGTTGTTTATCTCCAAAGTTCTTTGCCTTGTTAACTTGCTGGCACGTACAATTTTCGAAAATATTTGCCTTCCTCTCTTCTCCATAAATTAACTTCTATTTATAGGCAAAATTGGTCTTGCGAGAAAATCCCGAAATCACAAAACAGTGACAAAGCGACCTCGTTTTCCTCTGAAGTGGTAAACATAGCTTCGAGCGTACAAAAAGTCAGCTAAAGTAAACCACTTCACAATAAATCACGCTGTTTAAACACCATGAAGTCTTTTCTTGCCTTCAAAGTCATCAGCACTTGGATATTCGTGTATTTTCAAAAAGGTTTTACTTTGAAACTTTGGCAAAACACCCAGTTCACGACAGCGATTTTGTTCGGCTTTATATTCACCGCCTAGCGCGGTGAATATAACGTCATAGTCCGAGATAGCTAACCAATCAGATTGCTTGAATTGCCAAGATCACTGAGTGTGTATATACTAATATCATATATAGCTGCAAACCAAGGCTTGAATTGAACCACAACATACATGTATATTCAAGTTTTACAAAATTTATAAAATAAAATACTAAAAAAGTAGAGAAAATTACATAGAAATTAAAATTGATATGGAAGAAACTAAATTAACATTCACAAAAGTGGCCTGAAAACATTCAGTGTTAATAAAGAAAATCAAAAGAGAAGGATCTATTAGCTAAGTAATATTTAGACACCTGGCTTTAATATATGCATGCACATTATTGTCATGTGAAAGCTTAATAGTACCCTGGAAGGGTTACCATAGCTACTCATAACCTATAAACTCTATACTAAAAACCACTGTCTTATTACGTTTGGAAATAATAACAATCAAAATTTAATAATATTTTTAATGAAAAAAGAGCTCACATAAAAAAAAACTATTATTGTTTTGCATTCTGCCCACAGCCGGCGTTACTGTGCAAATTACCTAGTGTTAATTTAGTCCCTTGAGGATATTTTAGGTTATATAAGCGGTATTAGACATGAAGACAGGGGAAAAATGGACAAGGTTTTTTGACGCTCCCTCTCGCTCGGAGTATTCAGCGTTTAAGAAGTGTAATAAGGAAATTACAGTAGGCAGAATAAACCTGACAAAAGTGCAAAAACTGGTTTGTGATACTCTTCTAAGTGGATACGACATATATCCAAATCAATTATCTTATTGACTGAAAGACAGTCATCACTCCCGCAAACTACAGTACTCAGGGCTGTCCTGATTCAAGTTGGCAGTTATCTCTTTAAGACCCAAGAGTGAACAAAGTCAATTTTCTCCTAACAAAATCAATACATAATCAAGAGAAAATGCTGTGAAAATTAGTGAAATGATCACCTGATGGGCAGAGCTTTGATCTACAAATAAATTCTCATAACCAATTCTTTAAGGAAATGTATGGAGATCAGTCTGGAGAATTGGTATTTGAATATTTGGATTTAAAGGGTTAAATGTCATATTGTTAGTGGGCTGGGAACTGACAAGCTAGGGTGTTGTTTTGATTCTATTTTCCTTTATTTTCTTCTTCTTCTTCTTATCACTGCATAAGTGCCTTGAATATTCAACAAAATAGATTCTGGAATAAAATACATTGAATTTGAAAAAAAAACAAAAACACTTACATTAGGCCTGCATGTACCAAACCTAACCCCTTTAACTAAGTACATGAAAAGTTCGACGTTTGAATCAATTAAGTCCCACATACAAGTATCGAATTTGGGTTGACCCATGAATAAAGTTTGAGTGGCTCACATCCCATAGGAACTTTGACCACATAGTGACTTGGTTTTAAGCATCAAACTTTTCATGTGCCAAACCTAATGCATAAATTACTACAATTAATTATATTTTTACTGGTAAACATGGTAGACCATTGTACATCGAAAAAGGAATTACGTTCAACGAATTAAGAAGAACGTCTGAATCAACTGTCGAACTAACATCATCTGGGTCAACCCAGATAACTATTAAGTTTGGCACATGAAAAGTTTGACATTTGAGCTGGACCTTACTGGCTCAGCAATAGTGTTGCATGAGAGCAATACAAGGAGAACGTGACTTACAGTCAGAAGCTAAAATGGGACACTCTTAGAAAAAAAATTAGAACTGTCCCACTTCTCAATTAAATAGTTACTATAGGCACCAACTGAATATTGCAGCAGATCAGATGCTGGGATCAAACCGTAGAGGAATTTTTTTTAACCAGATTCTATAAAAAGCAACAATTAACTTGGCAATTTTTCTGTCAACTTGACTTTATGGCTAATCAGTCAGTCTGGTGTACTTTTACATGCCATAAGCAAAAATAAAGGGGTGTAAAATTTCTGAGAGCATAATTTTTATATTCTGCTTGTTTCGAGGCTGTAACAATGTCGAGACTGTTTTGTATTTAGAGTCCCTCAAATACTGATAACCTAGACAAAACAATATTAATATACCCTGTGAATCAGATCCTTCAAAAATATCATTATTTTTTAACTTACGGATCAAATTCGTGAATAACACTTTCAAACCGCAATACTGAGAACAACCTAGTAGAGAATGCTGAAAAAAATAAAGGTTTTCAAACGAATAAGAGAAATAAATCTTATAAATACAATTTTTCTTGAGTAAGAATAAAAATTGAAACACATAGCAATCACCTAAATAAGAAAATGCTGTATCCAGAAAAAAAACTCAAGTAGAATTTTCGGTTGATTCTATATATTTGACGAAAAGCAATGGAGTAGAAAAGTTTTTTATCATGTTGTAACTGGAAATGAACAACAGTGATTTCAGATTGGTATGTATTCGATACTTAGATCATAGAATGTTTTGTTTGATTTTGCTTATGAAACTAATAACAATTTTTCATAGCATGATCACAATCTTACCGATGGAGTCCTTCATCACTGAAACCTATTTTCACCGCGATCTACTTCTCTAGTTAATATAGGGGATTGTTTATAAATTACATGATACTTACACAAAACAGCGCATATGGACAAAATGAGAAGCTTTAACAACGTGTCTTGCTTCTCGTAAGAGAGACGTGGAAGAAAAGATGGAAGTTGGAAGCCGCTTTCCTGTAGTTTCATCTTATCCGTAAGTTCTCGGTCCTTGGATAAGGAGCAAACTACACGGTGGAAGTCTTGCAATTTGTAAAAAATTACAAATTGAAAGAGGCCACGTTGACTGGACTTTTGTTCCAGATATTCAATATGGCGAAGAGAAAGAACAGGAAGTCACGTGGGNTTTTTTTTTATTGTAAAGTGATCTCGTTATTTTCTGAGCCTACTTGAACGGAGGTGACATTTAAGATGTCATTCGCTTATTGACAACAAGTCGTCGCTATCGTACCTTGCTTATTACCGCGATTTTCTTAATCGTCTCCTCTGAAAAGAAGCATTCAATCCAAGCTCAGTGAGAAAGAAGACCAATTCAGAAGAGAGTGGAGATGAAAAGAAAAACAAAATCATTGCAATGAGAGATACGTACATCTCTGTCCGCCATCTTCGATTCGGGAGACGTCACGTGACCAAGCCTCTTTTTGGAATTGTAATCGTATGAAGTTATGCAACAGAAAATTTCCCAGTGCAGTTCAGTTGAAAATAATTCTTTGCGATGATTTTAAAGCTGATGGTGAATTTTAAGCCTGGTGATACATGAGAAACTATTTTTTTGGTATTAGTGACACAGGCGGCTCGGAAGAAAAAATCCGAGTCGAACCGGTTAGACTCACGTTGTGAGAACTCGGCTTTCTTATTCCGAGCCACCTGTGTCATTGTTAAAGCAGCTTTTGTCAAAATAATTCTTCTGCACCAAAAGCGAAGACACTAGTCCGATCCGTAATCCGATCCGATCCGGAGTCCGATCCGATCCGATCCGATCCAAGCAATCCGATCCTGGTTTTGTTAACGGCCCTTGATCTGTTTTATACTTAGATGAAATTTTTAGCGGGAAAATTAAATATGCGACCCTTTTTTCAGTCACGCTCTCTATCCAGGAGAATCCGGGACTTGTAAATTGACCTATCTTTTAAAACACATTTTGATTGGCTAAATCTTTTCCAAATATGGTAGCTTACGCTTAGAGCCAATTAGAATAGCCCTTATATTGATACTTGTTCTCCATTAGTGTTTTGGAAGCGTGGAGCTCCCGTGAGCAAAAAGCCCAACACTTAAAAAGTTTTCTCGTATTTCTTGGCCTGTTTTTTACTGCGCTATGAAATCCTCAAATAAAGACGAAGCGTCAACTTCCGATCACGATGAGGAAGATGCTGCAGTTTATATTTATGATCGCCGGGCTGGTTGCAGGCCGGTTGAAAAGATCCAATTAGGCGGCATTTTTAATTTTGCCAGTTTCAAGGAAAAGACACGACAAGTAAGCAGTGGAGTTTGCTTTTTCTCTCTTATGGTTATTTTCGCCAATATTAAATGACAGCCTCTTGTGTGGTTTAAATTTCACACTTTTTTTCAGGCTTTTAGTATACCAGAAAATGAAAAGTTTGTAATCGTGACCACCAATCGTCAAGAAATTTCTGATGACAAGACCTACGGTACGCGCAAGCACCTGTTGCATTTTAAGCTGTTATATCTTAAATTTTGTAGTCCTAAGAGCATAAACAGGTCTTTTATACATTGACCTTAAAATTCTCTTTGAATTTCAATCAATAACTTGCTAGAACCTTCTTGTTAAACTACTGAAACGTGCTGTCTCTTTTCAGAAGAAATGGTGGATGGAAATGAAACATTGTATATTTTACAGCAGACTGACCAAGAGCTCAGTGCTCCAACTGAAGAGAGAGTTGAATACATCCCTCATTATGATACGCTGGTAAAAAGTGGAATGTATGAATATTATGCCAGTGAGGGACAAAATCCTTTACGTGAGTAGAACTTTTGTATTGTATATCTGACCACCTCTTCGGTAATTATGTGAAATGGATAAGATTTCTGTACAACGTTATCATTTATTATGCAAGCAGCAGTTTCTTACTATTTCACACAAATAGTTAAAATGGATATATACTTGAAGCAAGCATGCATAATAAATGTATGGGCTAGTTGTACGGTAACCTCACATCGCACATTTTAAAAACCACCTAGCATTTGGTCAAAAAAGCTCAAGTCGTGTTTCATGTGGCGTGATTGGGGTTGATTGACAGCACATCAGTAAAAACCGTTCATGATTCAATCAAACCTACAATAGAGGAGGAAAATTCCTTCTGTAAATTTGGCATGCTGCAGGGGATAAAAGTCCTTCGCGCTGGGTCTTACTACTGGAACCGGAAATGACTTAAGGAAAGTCTGTGATAAAAATTGTTTCTGTCACTGTATTTCGTATTTTAGCTTTTGCTTTCGCGGAACTTGTGGATAATGCATTGGCTGCAACAGCAGATAATGAGGGACCAAGAAAAATTGAAATAAGACTGGTAAGGCATTGAGATACTGCAATATTATTGCTCACTAGCAATATTAAGCATAAGCATAAGGAGGTAGTCTGCTAGCCAGGACAACCTTGAACTAGGGGGGAGGGGAAGGAAGGTGGGTACTCTAGATTTAAGTGATGGGGATGATTAAAGGAATTTTTTTGGGTTTAAAATTTTCGATTGTGGGATTTTTTTTGGTGGCTTGATTTAAGTAGGGATTTTGGGGGGTATTCAAAACAATCTGAAGATTTGTGGTAGTGCCAGTGTATCCCAGCTGCGTAGTTCTGTGACTGTTTTTTTTTTCTAATGCTCTTCATGAGATCTTGGGGGGTTAGTCTTTGGTCCAGGGATTTGTTTCAGTATTGTTGGAAGCCCTAGGGATTTTTGAGGGGTTTAGATTTTTGCCCCCTTTCAATCTTCCATGTCACTTAAAATCTGCAGTACCCCTCATGGGGGTCTTGACATAAGCACCACCCAAATGTCAAACCAAAACATAATCTTGCGTTCTCCTTATGCTTATGCTTATAATTTTCGCGTGGTTGATCATTCGTACGCCCTGCTTGGAAGTATAGGCTTCTTGAGTCCTTTTCTTGTTTGTAAATTACAGAGAATACAACGAAAAACTTAATTTACTTTGATTTCTTGTTAATTAATGTGCATTTATTAGATGTTTGATGACTCTGTTGGAAAGCCTGTCGTGTGTATCCTTGACAATGGTGCAGGAATGACATCAAAAGAACTCAACAACTGGGCTATCTATCGTCTATCCAAGTTTAATCGGCAAAATGGCAAGAAAGTGTAAGTTCAGAAGTCACAGCTTTAAAAATTATGTGTACCTTCAGTGACATGGCTAGTGATTTTTTTCAGATCTATTATTTTTTTCTTAACTAAAGAATCAACATAAAGAAAAGAGTATTACATGGGGAAGTGTACGTTGTAGTTTTTGTACTAGGTGCAATATAATCGTACGACTTCAAGTTGGGACCTGGAATAGACCTATTCGACTAACTCAATGTTGTACCCAATTCAATCCCCGGGGTTAAGATTCTTTGTGTATTTTATTTGCATCATAATGTGGCATACTCATTTAAATGTATGGAAATTCCTGAAACAAAAAGTTTATTCCCAAAGGGTTTGAATTGGATACAACATTGAGTTAGCTGATTAGGTCTATCACTGCAATGGTCGATTCCATCCTTTCTCCTGACCTATCTGTCTATAGCTTGTGTTTTATTCATGCATTGCCCTCTTTTGAATAGATTCAACTACCATTAATATTTGAGTCGCTTACAAGCACACTACTCTGACTGACATTGTTAACGTATACCACTGTATTTTGCTTTTTTTCTTTTTTTTGCAGTGTAGCAGATGTTCCAAGGTCTTTAAATAGTGATATTTCATACTTTGGTGTTGGTGGAAAGCAAGCCATTTTCTTCATTGGAGATGCTACCCGGGTAAGAGATTATGTACATTGTATTCACTTGGCCATTAACCTATTAATAAATATTTTAAGAGTTCCTAATTTGAAAAACCCATAAGAATGTAAATTGAGGCTGTATTGCTTGGCGTTTTCTCTCTTTGACCAAAAGAAGCTTGATATCAAAATGTGAGGTAGACCATAATTATAGTTCAGGGTTGTCAGAAAGTTTTGAAGTAGACGGCTGAGTTGTCAAAGTAAGTGGCCAGTCCAGAGATATTTTATTCAAAAGATGCCATCCGTAAAGAAATGCCAAGCAGAGTAGCCGGCCGATACTAACCAAGTAGGCGGCAATTTTCACTGGCAGCCAGCTAGTTTTGACAACCCTGCAGTTACTGTTGGATGTCATTGTTTAAAAGTAACATCATTGTAAGTATGCCAGGGTACTATCTGATGTATTGAGTACTCACGTTACCCCTCAGGATTTCCTGTATTGGTCCTGCAATAAAAAGATTTCTTCTTAGGCAATTTATAACAATTCCCTTTTCGACCATGATTGTGCGGACAAGGTGGCTGGATATTAGCCTTTTTTTTCACTGTGCTCAACTTCATCGTAGCCAATATTTAGCCATCATTTGCTTTAGCAAATAGCAAGCATTACTACTTACATCACAAGAGGATTATCATTACTGATTGTTATCATAAGTTCAGATTAGAAGAAAAGGTGTAATATTTAAGCATCACAAGTACTCTATCTGTGCAATGTTTTCCCAGATGGTCACAAAATCGAAGGACTGCAGTGATATCCACGAGCTTTGCCTATCTCAAGCAGAATTTGAACGCAGAGAGAAGAACAAACAGGCAATTTATGGTGGTGCTATACTTAACAGGAGGGTACGTGCAGACAACATGAGGTGTTTTTGTTGCTCCATATACTTTAACTACGGTGTGGAGTATGTAAGGTCCAGGTCAGATGTAGTGTTATCATGTTTTACGTTAGTCACTTCCAGCATGCCCGTTATTAGGTAAACTAGGGCCTGTTTTGTAACTTTTGGTTCCAGAAACCATGTTCTTACACTGTAAATCAAATCTCAAAAAAGGGTATTAAGGGTTCTAGCGGCAACTAGTCAATTTTGTGTTGTTGTGAGTGATATTTTATGGTGTTATTCCATCACTTTCAAAGCCATTAAGACTTCATTCTGAACTGAAAACATAAAACAATAATTTTTCATGTCCCAAAATAACCAGGCGTGCTTAACATTAACATATCTTGTGCACAAACATAAAACTATAAAATTTGGCATGGTGGGAGAATGACCCACCACAAAGTACAGTAGATCCACAATAAATCAAACTCAGATAACTAAAATTCCCTGCTAACTTGCTTAAACTAAATTTCCTTTTCCTTTGATCAAAATTTCACTGAAATTTGCCCCAGTAACTCAAATTCCCCACTAACTCGTTCTGTTTTTCGTTTCCCTTGTCTCAAATCATAGCCCTTATTAATTTTCTTAAGCTTCCCAAATGGAATGGCACGTTAAAACCATTTGTTTTTTCATCACAAGAGAATTTCCAGTTTTTCTACATAAATG